TAAACCTGTGAGACCATCCAGAAAGAATAAAGGAAAAAGCAGCCCCAGTCAAACATGACCAAAGCAATAACTTCAGCGACCTCTGGCAACTACAAGCCCATTCAGAGATCACTTTAAAAAGGTATTACCTGCTCAGTGCACAGAAAATGATGATGGGAATATGATCTGCTGTGCTTGTTGCTGGTTCCTGTAATGGTTATTCCACTCCGAGGCAGATTTTAAGAAGTTTACCAAGCTAAATCCTTTCTCCTCAGTTTGCAGCCTTCAGGCACTTCCTTTCTCCAGTGTCTTCACTCACCTTATTTCAGTTTTTCTCAGATCAGGCATTTAGAAAGCTGGAGCTGATTCATACATCTAATTTGAAGTCATTCAGATCCTGGATGGACTTGGGTCAGCTGTGGCCACCTGGGGAATGTTACTCTTTTTATGCCACGGTTAAATTTTATTTTGATAATACATTAATTAATGATTAATATTAGCTGAATGACCTGTGTTTTAGGAAGAAAGAGATGCTCTGTGTGTGTGTGGAGACAACACAATAAAGTGCTGATTTGTCAGGGGCTAAAACACAAAGAAGTGAGTGGATCTGTTGGATTTTCTGGAATGCCAAGCTGTGGAGCACCTTGGCCTGGTGTATGTCTGGCTGCAGAAGTCCTTTACTGTGTAGGACTGGATGCCATAAAATCCCTGTGCCTGCTGTACTCAGTGTGGAGTGAACAGAGATAAATAAAAGTGACTTCACCACAGCCTTTGGTGAACCACCCCTGCTGTCCATCCTCCAGGGTACCGATGATTCCTTTTCTATTTTGTGATGGAAGTTAATCGTTGCAATTTTATGTTTACCATCCACTCCAAATTCCTCAGTATAATCTCATTTTGGGACGCTTCTACCTTTTCTGAGGGATGGTGGGACACAGTAATTGCATGTTTGTCTCCATACACCAGTGGAAAAACGGTAAGTATCTATCTTATTGCATACAGAAGGCCCAGCTCTACAGAAGAAGAAACACAACTAGAATCTCTGGATTTCCCATCTTTTTCAGGCCAATTCTGACATTTATTTTGTTGGGATGTCTTGTCAGATTTCTCCTAGGGACTGAATGAAGACTGAATGTAGATCTTCTCTTTTGGTTGATTGACAGAATGTGTGGTTAGACAACTCTTTTTAGAGTCAGACATAACCCCAGCAGAAGGGATCTCAGAAAAATACTGACTTTTTTGTAAAAAAACCTCCCTCTCCCCTGAGTACCATTCTATTACAGTCATTGCTGACAGAATAAAGAACTATCAAAACAACAAGGTTCAAAATAAAACTCGGGAAGCTCTTATGAAACATGAAAGCTCTGTGCTTCAAAATTCTGGACTGAGGAGAGCACAACGTGTGCACAGTGAAAAGTTTGGAGGGAAATAAATAAAATAGATCAAATCCCTGTGTTAAACAAATAAATCTCTAAGAAATATTTACTATGCATCAGACCAACTGTAGTCTAATGATCACAGTGAACTCATTTCCAGTGGCATATATAAACCCAAATGTTAATCAGGAGAGGGGTGGGAGGAGGGAAATGGCAGTGCATGAGGACAGCACTGGGTTATGTCACCACTCCCAGTGCTGAAGGTGACAGACAGGGAACAGAAAACCTCAAAAGCCAGGAAAAAAGTGAGGCATATTTAATACCTGCTACCCCAGAATCCCTGCTAGGGCAGTTTTTGGCAATCTCAACGACAAGAAATGGAGAGAAAAGTAGTGGGTGGAATTTTCACTTACCTATGCACCACTTGCTGCAAGTAGAAACGAGCATCTCCGTGGGGAAGTTCTTTGATTCCTCATCAATTTCACTGATCCAAAACCATTTTGTGCAGAGGATTGAGATGTGAAGCACCATTTTACACCATATCTAATCTAATCTAATCTAATCTAATCTAATCTAATCTAATCTATAGCAGGAATTTGTTACCCAAATTCCTTGTCTTTCCCTAGAGCATGGTTAATCACTGTATCATACCTGCAGCTTGTGTATATACTATTATAATATATATATTTAGGAACTCAAAAATTTTTCTTTGCCTTGGTCCTTTATGTCATTACTGCATTGATCTGTGTTATTTTAACTGGAAAATGATAATTCTACTTACTGCTCAAAGACTGTTGAATTACTGATGAGATCTGCATAATACAGCCTTACATTTTCTAATGTTTACTAACCCAAATTTATATTTTGTGAAATATTTAAGAGATATCCATGAGAATTTAAGACTTTTTCTTTTTTTGACATTTCATTGTCATAATTTCTCCTATTTAATTCTTCAATCACTGTAAAAAGCAAAGGATATTTATTTCTACATGAGACCTAATTCCTGCTACCAGTAGATAGAGAAGGAAACAGGATGGAACTGATCATTCTTAAATCCCATTTTTGTTATTTGGGTTTTTAATGAATGATTTTTTTCATTTCCAGAATAGCATATCATTCAAGTAGCTTGAAAGATTTTCTAATTTGAGAATTGTCTTGTGTTCTGTCAACAAAAAAATTAATAACATTAAATAATTCATATAGGACAAAGAGTTTATAACCTAGTAACTGTAAAAGGTTGTAATTCTGAAGAGTAATAATACCATTGTTAAAGGAAAGGAAAGGCCAGAGAATAGTTTTGCAGGTTTTTATAGAAATGTATTTTGCAATAAGAACTGATTCAGGCAGTGCTTTTTTTTTCTGGTATAAATCAATTTATTTTGCCAATCAGCAGATGCCATCACTGAACCTACTCAAAATAGAGACAATAGTTATTTAAGTGGATGAATACAAACCCTCAATGTCAAATTCAGCTCTTCTTCAGTTGTTCACTATGGAAGTAAATTAATCTGAATGTCTGAAATATTCTATTGGTCTGTTATGAAGTCATTTATGGCTTTTAAAAATGGGAACCAGGACTTAAGTATTGCATTCAATTTCATAGTATTTCATTTTACACTGTTTCTCAGACTTCCACAAAGCCAAGAATACTTGAGGATTTAGTTCATAGGTCTTTGGCCTGGGTGCTTATTAAATAGAATGCACTACACAGTACAAAAATAGATATCAGCAAAGAAATTTCTGTCTCTATTTACAACTGTCCTATCAATATATGTCCTTTTCTGTTACTGCTGCATGAAAATCTGAACTCAGCTTCATCCCTGACTGCAGCACAGCTTCAGGAGATGCATGTAAACACACAGGGACTGTCCTATATTCTGCCTCAGCATCTCCTAATCTTGTGCTGAGCTGTGAGCCTGCCTGCTGACACAGGTGCTATTCCGAAATAGCAAGCAGCAAGGCTGTTTGTGGGGCTGGGAAAACAGGCATATGGTACTTCCAGAGGAGTGTCTTAATAATGGAAATCAGTGCACTAACTCTATTTTTTTCATAGGTTTTCATGTCACCATTAACTTAATTTTATCAAAATAGGATGCAGCTTTTCTATAAACTTGTGGCAGGGGAGGAGATTTTATTTAGCAGTCAGAACTTGTGTCACTCAGGATATCAGAGGGATATGAGAAAATATATTTAAAAACATTCTCAGTAGATCCATTTTAAAGTAAATTCCACTCAACAGATGCCCTTCCTAAACTACTTTCAAATGACTGCATTGCTTAAACTCAATTTCAAGAACTACTAAATAACACTTTTTGCAGTGACATGCATGAACTAAACTCCCCATTAATATCATCTGGAACAGCTTTCTGTGGATTCACTCTTTGTATGGTCTTGAAAGGTTTCCATGAGAAGAAGCTGCTTGATTTCTGTATGAAAATCTGACATTTAGAATATGAGGCAAATGAGCTGTAAAGAGGATGGGTCAAGTAACATCAGTGGGTTTTAAGTACCTTCCTGTTTATTGGAAGCATAACACTGATTAGAAGCATGAAGTAGCGATGCTAATTTATAATTTCTGTTTATCAACTTGCACACGACTGGTTTGGGAGTGGCAGTCTTCAAAAATTTGCAAAAAAACAGGGAAAGTGGCCAGTGAGAGCATTTACCTTTGTGTCACATCATTATCGGAAGCATTGGCACCACTCCCTGCCAGCTTCTCCCCCTCACTGCTGTAAAACAAGGCACAATAAAGGGTTTGAAAGGCAGGGACAGGTTTTATGCACTCCACCTCTAACCCAGATTGGTTCTTTCCCACTCTGTACCTTGTGTCAGTTCCTGCCAGGAGCTGATGATGCCTGTGTTTGTGCAGCTCCAGAGTGTGTCACTCATTATTGGCACCATCTGCTCACTTCAGTGACAGCATTTCCCATCTCCTCTCCTGGAAGGTAAATGGCTGCAGAGGAATCCCAGCAGCTCTGCTGCAGGAAAAAAATTTTTCCACATACTGTGGGAATCCAGGGCATCCCTCTGGCTGCCCTGGAAGGCCTGGAACCCTGGCAGGGGGTCAGGAACCCCCCTGGACAGAGCCCCCAGAGACACTGTCTGTCATCTCTGTGCATGGAAAAGAGTTTTCAATCTTACAGGATGAATTACAAGCTCTGGGTGTTTGATATGAGTAATAATTAAGTGTGACACAGGTGCAAAAGTAAAATTTTAGGGTTCTAGATTAGGGGTTCAGAGGGGACAAGATGGAGGAAATTGGGTGTGTCTTGTCCTTTTTCTCCTTCTTCATGCCCTCCATGTTTCACTGCAGTGTTGGCATTTTTCTGTTGGTTTAGGCTGGGGACACAGTGTTCAACATAGGTGACAGATATTGGCACATTATTGTAAATATAGCACAGGTAGTTTCTGGTATATAATGTTTGTAACATCCCACTGAGGGCAGAGCCCCACACCCTGCCCTGCAGGACAGACCTGCGGCAGGGCAGCAGAACATGTTAGAGATAAACAGAATAAACAACCTTGAAACCAGCACAGACGAATTATGGCTTCTTCTTTGGCAGTGGGGCAGAAAGACAGAGACTTTCTACAATCTCAGAATCATCAATACCACAGATTCCGACAACATACTATGAGATTTTTTTCTTTCTCTCTTTGCTTCCTTCCTTGTACTTTGTGCAAATATGCCACATTTCCATGCACTTGAAGGTAAAATAACTTCCTGAAAAACAAAATAGAGGGGTCCATTCATTTTTGGTACAAAGTCTGTGTGTCTGACTTACTGTAATAAAATATGTCATGCTTACTGGAATAAAAATATATATTGCATATGTAGCTGTGCTCTATGTACACAATTATGCTTTCCTCATGATAAATAAGAAGTCAAATTTCATGGAAATGAAACTTGAACCCAAAATGTGGCCAATATTTAGTTACTTATCAGCTGACGGAGTTTATAAGGAAAAAATGTGCAGTTTACAAGGAGGAAAGGGAAAAGTATAAGGGATTAACCACTTTTGATACTTGGTAACAAACTAATGTTGGGTATTACTAACTATTCTGTGACACAAGAGCAATAATTACCTTAAGTGCTTTGAATCATTTACCAGCTCTCTATAATTTATAGCTCATGCTTTATGAACTTCTAAAGTTAGAAAAAGACTGAAACTGTAAGCACAGGAAACTTCTCCAGTGCTTCCTCTGTTACAATACATAATAAGGAAAACATTCATATGAGCATGCAGAAATATGTCTGCCAAAATAAGATGAAGTTCTTAATTTACTCTGCAGTCTTGAATTTTATTTCTTCACATAACTCTAAAAGGCAGAAATTTAATTTGTACGCTGACTATTGCTTAATGAGTGCACATCTTTATTCCCTTTTTTCTTTATAGTAGTGTCACTGAAATGTCTCTGGAAAACAACTGGAACTTGCAAAGTTCTGGATAATAAACATGCCCTGTTTGGGTGAGGCAGAAGGCTGATCTATCTTTTAAATTGCAGTATAAAATAAAAACATTTTGAACGTGGTAGCACACAGGTTTAGACAAGATAATTTTGTTCATACCAAAATATTGTTCAAAATGATGTTGTGAAAGCAAATTAATTCAACTACTTACCATGGACCAGAAAATATCAAATTACATTGCAATTTGTGTCTCACATATGCACTCCATTTTCATTTCAGTTTGCTTTTGCAAGAAGTTATAAAGATAAATAGAAAAGGCACCTTTTGGAAAATGTTTCCTGTCATAAAAATCCATGCCCACTATTACATATTAATGTATAGTGCACACTGAAAGAACAATTAAATATCTATAGTACTTTAAAAATATTCCCCTGTACTTTCAGAAATAAGGTAATATTGACAAACTAAAAGAACACAAAGCTGTAATATTGAAAGAAAATAAAGACAAATAGGTTTCCAGATTAATTCCATGAATTGCACTGGCATTCTCTCATGATGGAAAACACGGTGAGAACACTATAAAACAGAAAGTCTTACCAGCTAGAAATGACTTTTTTACCTATAAGAGTAAAAGAAATAGTTCAAAATAATTACAGTTCTTTGTTTCTCTAAAGTCTGCATGAGAAATCATAATTTACAGGAGTCTAATGAAATTTGGACTGAACAAAAGTAATGCTACAAATTATGAGGTGAAATACTCACTTTCCTACTGCAACTCTGTCCCTGACATAGGGAATAGTTTTTGTCAAGTCCTTTATGTTTCCTTGGGCTAGACACTTGTTTTTGATGCCAGTGGAAATGACATTTGTTTATTCCATAGAAGTTGCCTGTAAGCAACAAGGAATGGTTAAGATATTGAGCTGTGACTCTGAGAATTTAATTTTTACACCTATCTTTATCTCTTTAGGCAACTTTGGTAATTCCACCTCTTTGGTCTTTATTTTCTCCTACAATTTAGCTCCAAAATAGGGGAGGGGGTGGGGTGTGGAGGGGGTGGGGTTTGCCATCTGCAAAAGCTTTCCAGCCCTAAAACCAGAAGGGAAGGGTCCAGGAAAAGCTAGTGATGACTGCTGCATGCAGGCAGTACTTTAATATTTGTCATTTAGAACAATTTTCATGTAAAGTGGGGCTTTAGGAGTGCCCCTTGCTGGGGGTCAGTACAGCCTCCTGTTCTTGAACAAGGGGGAATTTCCTTCCTCCCTTTCTTCCCCTTCCCCGCTAGGCTGATGAGTGAAAATTAGCCAATATCAGCAAGACTTTTTCAGTCCAGCATTTAAACCAGTGCAGGTCACATTAAGTGATCACTCCCAAAATCTGTTGGATCTGCTGGGGTGGGACCAAAGGAAAGAAATGGGGCAAAGCTCCTCATGAAGAGAGGGCTGCTGCTGCTTTGTCATGAAGGATGCATGACCAGGACCTCAGCTACATGGAATTGGGACAAAAAGCCTGCTCTGATCCTTAAAAAACTTCAGCAGTTCAATCTAGGGCACCTTCATTTTTTAGGGCAGCCTGAAATAAGCAGATTTAAGAGTGTAAAGCTGTGGGTTCATTTTATATTTCTCTGTTTTCTCCTATTAAAAGCATCTGGTCTGTGCTTGACATGGAGATGGAATTAAATATATTTATTCAGAGCAGGATATGCCACTTCCGTAATCAAGGTTAGGAAAGGATTACCTCAGAAAGAATGTCTTCCAGTGGCTAGCTTGTCAAACACAGCACCTGCAGTAAATAGAAAGAAAATTCACTTTTTTCCTGTTATAGGTTTCAATTTACCTCTTTCTCTTGTAGTATTAGTTCTGTTTTTCTTTGTGCCAAAGTATTTTATGTCACTGAGACAAAATTTGCCACCTTTCTCCAAACAACTGCTCAAACTGGATGCCATTCTTATCTTACAAGCTTGTACAACTATTAGATGGTTTCTATCATCCAAATAACTTACACTCCCAACAAAGCAGTATCCTTTAATATTTTGTGTCAGGTTAAATGCGATAGGAATACAAGGGGGAACTTTCATGTTTTTAACAACTTGAAAAATATTGAAAGCACATTTCAGTCATTATCTTGATTTACAAATGGGCAAACATAACAAATGTTTCATAAGAAAAAGAGCAGCAAAGTTGGTAATCTGAGGAAAGCTTTCTTGTTTTTCATGTTCTTGCTAGATTACTTTTCTAAATCCTTTTACAGAACATAAGTGAAATAAATGTTTCCTAAAAGAAAGAGCAGTAAAACTGGTAATGTGAGGAAAGAGTTCTTTCTTGCTTTTCATGTTGTTTGCTGGGTTATTTATCCCCATTACTTTTTTAAACACAGGCATCAATAAACAAGTTATATGGCACAGTAAGAATTTATGACCTGCAATTCACTGAACAATGCTCAGACAATACCATTAAGTCTAAGTGATGTGACTAAGCTTGATAGTGATCACTATAACAGAATAATTTGATTTTTTTTTTAATGGAAGCCTTCTGTGTGTTTTTCAAGCAAAAATCCCAGAAACTCATCACTCTGCAGCAGCCACTAAACTCACTTGTGCAGAAGACCCAGCACAGTCTGAACAAGAATTCCATGGGAAAAAAAAAAGACTAGAATCCAGCTCTCAGCCAAAACCACAGACAAAACCAATTTCTTTATATTTTCCTTTCTATGGGAATAGCAAAATGCAGCTGTTCTGTCAACACTCATAAAAAATAGAACTGTTGTATATGCAAGGAAAAAGGGTAGTCTAGAATATTGAAGAAATCTCCAAATCCAAAGGATTAAATAGTTCATTTCTTAAAGAAAATACCAGTATCTTTTTTCCCAGTAAAGTTCTTCACTGGAAGTTAGAAAACAGAGCTATTGTAGAATAGATTACTGTACTACAATTGCCATACTAATAACCTTGCTCAATTACTATATATTAATTTTTATATATGTAAATTAGGAACATTATATAGTAGTTTATTATGCATTAAAGTCACAGTTGTTTATACACTTGCCTAATTTTCCTTCCTGAAAACGGGTGGTCAGCAATTCGTTTCCTATATACCACATCCATTTTTGCAACTAATTTCTCTCCAAAGAGTAATGCCAGAACTTAGAGACACTGGACAGCAGAACTGCAAGGTTTTATGTTTTCCACTATTAACTTGCTGGACAGCAGGTTAATTTACAAATTTAGCAGCTTTACCTGTTTTAATTTTATTTTTTAAATTACAATTTCATATTGCTGGGGGATTCCTCCTGCATGCTGTGTACTGTGCAGTACAGCCACATCTGTTGATTTTATTTTGCACAAAAACTGCCCCGTCATAGCAACCCAGCTGAAACGAATGGAACTGATTAAACAAGAGGAATCTGTGAGTCAGGGAATTGGGGATTTGTGATGTTGTGAAGATCCATCAGACCATCCTCTTTATCTGCCTGCCAGAGCAGGCTTTTCCATGCAATGCATCTGCTTTTGTTCACTGGGCTTCAAGTGGTGCTAAAATGGGACAGTTGTTGTCGGAATCTGTGGTATTGATGATTCTGAGATTGTAGAAAGTCTCTGTCTTTCAGCCCCACTGCCAAAGAAGAAGCCATAATTCGTCTGTGCTGGTTTCAAGGTTGTTTATTCTGTTTATCTCTAACATGTTCTGCTGCCCTGCCGCAGGTCTGTCCTGCAGGGCAGCGTGTGGGGCTCTGCCCTCAGTGGGATGTTACAAACATTATATACCAGAAACTACCTGTGCTATATTTACAATAATGTGCCAATATCTGTCACCTATGTTGAACAGTGTGTCCCCAGCCTAAACCAACAGAAAAATGCCAACACTACAGTGAAACATGGAGGGCATGAAGAAGGAGAAAAAGGACAAGACACACCCAATTTCCTCCATCTTGTCCCCTTTGGACTCCTAATCTAGAATCCTAAAATTTTACTTTTGCACCCGTGCCACACTTAATTATTACTCATATCAAACACTCATAGCTTGTAATTCATCCTGTAAGATTGAAAACTCTTTTCCATGGACAGAGATCAGAGACAGTGTCTCTGGGGGCTCTGTCCAGGGGGGTTCCTGACCCCCTGCCAGGGTCCCAGGCCTTCCAGGGCAGCCAGAGGGATGCCCTGGATTCCCAGTAGTTTTGTACAGAAGAAGGAATTAGCCCAGTTACAACAGACATATTTCAGCATGGAGCTCACCAAGCTCCATCAGGAGGTCGCAGAGATGCTCTTCTCTTACTTCCAACCTCTCAGAGCATTGAGTTTGATGCTTTTGGGGTGTAAAAACCACTGTCTCATTACTATGAAATGCAAAAATTTAAGAATCACAGCTCACAAACCTTCAGCTACGGAGTTTTAGCAGCATGCCTCAGGAATACTGCAGTAACAAAATGAAAAGTGGTATCAGATCACCATGGCAGAATAAAAACTGAAAATTCAGTCAGAAATTAGGGGTTGGAAAAGAAATGAGCTTTGGAAAGCAAAAATAGAAATAGGAAAAGGAATTGCTAGCAATAGAAGATGTTTGAATAGGAATTGCTAGCAATAGAAAGGTCCCTGAGAGGAGAAAAGGATAACTTGATTCTTCAGAAGAGACTTGGAGAGAGGAAGGAGCTGAAGCCTTCAAGCCATCAAATTTCTTTAGAAATAAAGGGAGGTTATGGATTTCTCAGTTTTAGCTCTGCTGAGTTCTGCCCAGCAGATTGAAAATTTTCATTAGTGTTGAATTTATAATAGAAGCTGAACAGATTTCATTGACTTCGATTCCCCTTTTTTTTTTGTGTATTTCTCATTATACTGCCAAAGGAGTGCAGCTCTGAGGAGTGACATGAAGTGACACTACCTAATTAGAAAAGGGACTTCAGGTTTCAGGAATTCCAAAAGGAGGATTGCCCATTTAAGTAATTCCCATATCCTGAGTGTATTAGCTTTACAATTTTGGGTCATTTTAAGTCTCACAGATTCTTAAAACAAACAAACAAACAAGCAAACAAAACAACAACAAAACCCAAAAGCTCAGTTTCTGATATACTTCAAATTATAACTAACAAATTATACCAAGTAAGAGCCTGATAAAATTGTGTGCAATATTCATTGTAGGAGAAGGAATGTTTTTTCCAGAAAATTAGATTGTTCTTTTCCTGGTTCATCCTGAATATTTTTTCTGGTTTGTGTGATTTCTTTGCAAGGATAAAATAGTCTACTTATTGCCTACTTGCTGCTGGGGCTAGGGGACACCTAAGAGATGAGGAAGAAACAAATTTATGCTGAACACCTTTATTATGCTACATAACCTTGTCATAAATCCTTTAATAACCATCAGCTGCTCTGTTGTTATCATGCCCTTCTGAGCTTAGCTGGTTGAATCTCCTCATGCTTTTTAACTTCTTGGTAAATGTAGCTTTTTGTCTTGCAAAGTCCATCCTAAGGCTGAGCAGCAAATATCCAAGGGACTCTGCCCCAAAATCTTGCTCATCTCCAGGCATGGATGCTCTTCCCTATTCCCATGAATGGGGAAAGGCACAAAAAATTCAGCATAAGAATCATTTAACCTGATGTTTAGAGCTTCAGAGGGAAAATGAAAGCCAGGAAAATCCTTTGGTGGTTCAGGATGTTGTGGAGGATACATAAAAGTCATTCCAGGAATGATGTGGCAACGTCTCATAGTTCAGACTATTCTGCTTTCTGAAATTCTCACATGCTTGTGAGGATCTCTGCTGGCATTAAAAAAAAAAAAAAAGTTTCCAGCTAAACAAGCTGACAACATTTCTGAAATACATTTCGGTGAAAGCAAATAGAGGGATTCACATATTTAGCTGGGGAAAAAATATCACCACGTTAAAAAAAATGAAGTTAATTTGCTTTATGCAGAGAGCATAGGGGGAAGGAGGCAAGTCATGAACTTAGGATGGTTAAGGTTGAGGACATTGAATTATTCCATTTATTTTGAGCTTACTCATGGTCCTGTGTCCTGCAGGCCTCAGGGATGATGAGGCTAAAATTCCAAAAGGGGTATCACTGATAAAAGCTGCTGAGTTTATGCAAGTGAGCTTCCTCAGCTTACATGTGACCTCTTTTTGACCTCACCTTAGCTACAAAAGAAGCTGCTAAATTAAGTTTGCAGAAAAACTCAGAAAGGTCCTAAACTCTTCTTGCAAACAGCCAAAGTTGTGTGGTCAGTGCTGGCAAAGAAAGTTGGTTCTTTTTTTGTAAACTTTGCTTCTCTGACTGTCATTTTTACTTTGAATATTTTTTCCCCTTCGGAGAATTCCTCCAGGATTTTTCCTTCTGCCTTGTCTCACCACAGTGACTCAGCTGGGAAAATAATGTAGCCTGCAGTTTAGCCAGTGTGCTTTTCTCAAGAGGCTTTTCTGGAAAGAAAATAAGATTTAAAGTGAAATTCCTTAGTTTAGCACATATCAGGGCCTTCTGGTACTTCCCATGTGCAGAGATGAATTATTAACCTTTGGGGAAAGGTAACAGTGCGTTCACATTAACTTCTCACAGTGTTACAGTTTTTTTTCCAAGTGCACACTGAGGAGCCATAGGAATGATAATAATGAAGAGCTCACTAATTCCTACAACTCCTTGTTTTATTGCAATAATCTCTGCAGTGTGAGTACTGCACAAACCATTCCCAGCAACTACTATTATAATTATTACAATTATTATTATTATCATCATCATCATCATTATCATATTTATTGCTGTTGTTAATATTCATCTAAATTTTTAATAAAAGCTTTAGCGCCTC